TGCACCATTCCAGATACCTAATCACAGCTCAATCGATGCTGGAGTCTCTTTCCTTTTTCTTTCTGCAGAAAACATGCTTTACATAGGATCTCTGAACTTAAAGAATGGGTAAACCATGGCAATTGCTTGCCTCAAATTGAATTTCTGGTATATTAGGCAGTGGCTTCTACTGAAGAAGTTTTGCGTTGTAGCCAGGCTCTATAATCATTGTAAATATGTTGCTCTAAGGCAAGAATTGACAAACTTTTTCTGAAAAAGGCCACATAGTAAGTATTTTAGGCTCTGTGGTCTGTACAGTCTCTGCTACAGTACTCAATTCTGCCCTTGTAGTGGGAAAGCAGCTTAGACGGTATGTAAAGGAATGTGTATGGATGTGTTCCAATAAAACTTTATTTACAAAGCAGGCAGCGGGCCAGATTTAGTCTATGGACTGTTTAGCCCCCGCTCTCAGGTAAGTTGTAGACGTTCTGCTGAAAGAATCTCTTCCAGTCCTGGCAAAAATCTTGTAAGTTAGGAAATCGCCTAGAGGGTAAAATGAAGGAGCTTGGTAAGAGTTTTTATAAGCAGCGAAAATTCTGCCAAAGATTCCCATGACTTTTGATATCCAGCATGGTATAACCCTGGCTCTATATCAAGTTTTCAATTCTGATGTTGCAATTTTGAAAGTAGTTTGTAGAAACATAAGAATTCATTAAAAAACTCATTCAATGATCCACTTTGTAGCCTTGTGACTAATCCAGAAAGTAGAGTCTGTGTCTCTTTAGGAACATAACCCTCCCTAGCAAGGTTCCTGCAGAAAACTCACCCTTGGAAATAACACTAGGGGAAAAAAGTGTTCCATGGTAAAGTTTGTTTGGAAAAGTTTACATATTTTATTCTCCCTCTCGGAGATTTCTAATGGATATAAACATATTAAAAAGCTGAGAATTTCTATAGTAACAAAATCCATTAATCTTGGTTAACTCTGACTTTTACAAACTCACTTGACCACAAAAACTTAGGTTAAAATATGGGATCTGGATTCAATAAAATGAGCATAAAAATACTTATCTCCTGGGGCTGGTGTGAAGAGTGCATCTGATGAAGCGTGTGCTTAGCACAGGGCCTGTGAGAGAACACACAGGAACTACGTGTTGGCTGTTACTTTAGCAGCACACTTGGGAAATGCTGGCCAAGACCGTAATATACAAAGATATTCGTAAACTCAATTCTGATTATAAATTTCAAAAGAGTTAGTAAATGGTATTCTATATCATATGATATAATAAGTGCCATAATCAATCTTTCAGAAATATTTTGTCCTTGAAAGTGGAACCCCCTGAGAATGGCCTGTATTAAAACAAGAGGTGCATGGTGACCACCTCTTTATGAGACACCAGGATCGTCGGGGAGTTCTCACTGCAGCGTGGGCAGGTGGTGGTCTGGAGGCTGAAGGCTGGCTGAATGGAAACAGTCAGCCTGGAAAGGGGGATGTGGATGCTGGTGGTCTCACTCTCCTCCACAGCAGGACCCTTTCAAACCCCCTCCTACAAAGGCCAGAGGCCCCAGATATTGACACATGCCTTTAAGCCCTTGGATACTTCAAAGAAAGAAGATTAAGAGCCAGTCTCAGAACCTGTTCCCCAGAGAGATGCGTTTGTCCAAAAGTTGATATTATCGATGTGAGTGGAAGCTGAGAGGAGCGTATAATTTCTTTAATAAAAGCTGGACTGTGTTTGCTGGGGCTCCTGAGTTTTTCTGCTTCCTCCAGAGCATTCTCAGGGGCTGGGACGGCCTCCTATGATCGGCACGAATGTTTGATCAGCTATGCGTCTTCTCCAGGGCAGCTCAGATGATCCGAAAGGCTTCGGATCTCTGGTTGTCTCCAGAGTTTTCCTTCTTAAATTCTTTGTTTCCTTCAGAATTCATTATAAATGACATAATTACATCTCTTTTTCTTCTCTGATTGAGAATATTTCTCACACATGGTGATTTGCCACTTGGATGCAGGAAGAGACTGAGTGATGTCACATGCACCCAAAACACTGCATCTCCCTTCCAGAGCTGCACTGCCTCTCACCCGAGGACTCAACTCCCTTCCAGAACTGCACTGCCTCTCACCCAAGCACTGCGTCTCCCTTCCAGAGCTGCACTGCCTCTCACCCAAGCACTGCGTCTCCCCTCCAGAGCTTCACTGCCTCTCACCCAAGGACTCCACTCCCTTCCAGAACTGCACTGCCTCTCACCCAAGCACTCCACTCCCTTCCAGAGCTGCACTGCCTCTCACCCAAGCACTCCTCTCCCTTCCAGAGCTGCACTGCCTCTCACCCAAGCACTCCTCTCCGTTCCAGAGCTGCACTGCCTCTCACCCAAGCACTCCTCTCCCTTCCAGAACTGCACTGCCTCTCACCCGAGCACTCCTCTCCCTTCCAGAACTGCACTGCCTCTCACCCAAGCACTCCTCTCCCTTCTAGAACTGCACTGCCTCTCACCCAAACACTCCACTCCCTTCCAGAACTGCACTGCCTCTCACCCAAGCACTGCTCTCCCTTCCAGAGCTGCACTGCCTCTCACTCAAGCACTCCTCTCCGTTCCAGAACTGCACTGCCTCTCACCCGAGCATTGCATCTCCCTTCCAGAGCTGCACTGCCTCTCACCCAAGGACTCCTCTCCCTTCTAGAACTGCACTGCCTCTCACCCAAGCACTCCACTCCCTTCCAGAGCTGCACTGCCTCTCACCCAAGGACTCCACTCCCTTCCAGAACTGCACTGCCTCTCACCCAAGCACTCCACTCCCTTCCAGAACTGCACTGCCTCTCACCCGAGCATTGCATCTCCCTTCCAGAGCTGCACTGCCTCTCACCCAAGCACTCCACTTGCCGTTGTCCCTCGCCAACTTTCCCCTAGTTTGGGATATTGATAGATTCCCCACAAACCCATGAGAAAAAGAAGACTGTCTGGCTCAGCATGAAATTGAATTTCAGAAAATAATGAAGTCCTTTGCAGAGAATGATATTTCCTAAGAGAAGACATACCACCAATTGGATGTTATCAAGAAAAAAAATGGGGTATATATTGTTCCCTGTATATTTTATTTATATATGATTGCTATAATTACTTGCTTAGAAACAAACATTCTATTAGACCATGGCATTCCAGCTCCAGTGAAAATAGAAAAGGGGATTTGATAGCAAATTATCATCTGTGACAAGAGAAATTTAAAATTAGAGGCAGGGCGTGGTGGCTCACACCTGTAATCCTAGAACTTTAGGAGGCTAAGGCAGGTGGATCACCCGAGTTCAGGAGTTTGAGACCAGCCTGGCCAACATGGTGAAACCCTGTCTCTACTAACAAACAAACAAAACAAACAAACAAACAAAAAGCTGGGCGTGGTGGTGGGTGCCTGTAATCCCACCTACTGGGGAGGCTGAGGCAGCAGAATCGCTTGAACCTGGGAGGCGGAGGTTGCATTGAGCCAAGATTCAGCCACTGCACTCCAGTCTGGGTGACAAGAGCGAGACTCTGTCTTAAAAAAATAAAATAAAACTAGAGACAGACACAAGAGAATTTGTTCATTCATTCATTCATTCATTCGTTTACTTCACTAATATTGACTGTGTTTCTTTCCGTGCCAGGCACCACTGTGTTAGCTATAATCATGGTGGCTGAGCAGTAAGAGCTTATACTTGTGGAGCACCTATTATGTGTTAAGTATGATAAGTATGATCTCATTTAATTCCATCACATAGGAACCAATCTTGTTATTAATATTATTATTTTACAGAGAAGGAAAATATAGCTTAGTGAAGCTAAATGGCTGCCCAAAGCCAGGGTAGCTAATAAGCAGCAGATGTTGGGTCTGATACCAAAGCCTCCAAGTTTGGATAAAGTGGCTACATTGCCACTTGAAGCAAGCAAAGTCCTTATTCTCATGGAGTTTGCATTCTAGTGGGGGAGACAGTCAATTGAAAATAGAGGCAAATGTATACACATAAATAAGCAAGATCATTTCAAATAGCAGTAAGAGCTCTGGGAAATATAAAATGGAGTGATATGCAAGGCAGAGACAAGGTGGAGGTGCTGGGAAGATCCCCCACCCCAGTTGGACACTTGTGATGGCTGAACCAACTCTCTTTGAGCCTAGTTGTTTCATTTGAAGGCAGGAACCTGGGCAAGAGGATCCTTCTGTAGCTCATTTCATTCCACAGCTGCATGGGCAGCGTGGGCCGCCATTTACAACCCGTGTTCTTCCTCTGTGTTCTAACATGTGGAGTTTTTCCAACCCAGACACAGCTAGACCACTAGATATGAGCAGACTCAGATGCTACCTAAATAAAAAGTCACGCTTGTCCTTAAGCAAATAGTCCTACAGAGGACACCCAGATATGGCAGTAAACAAATGTCCAAGTGTTTCATGAAAAATACTAAAACACTCAACTGGTGGGCAGTGTTACCCTCCAAGCGACATTTGGCAATAACTGGAGACTTTTGGGGTTGTCACGAACTGGGGGAAGGATGCTACTGGCATCTAGTGGGTAGAGGCCAGGGAAACTGCTGAACATCATACCATTCACAGGGCAGCCCCCTACAACAAAGAATTATCCAGCCAAAATGTCACTACTGGGAAATCTCATGCTACAGTGAGATAGAGAGATAATAGATAGATAGATAGATAGATAGATAGATAGATAGATAGATAGATAGATAATAGATAGATAGACCGCCTCCTCATTTTCTGGTAACTTTCTCTACCTCTGAAATCTGCCCCAAATTGATGGAGACAAGAGGTTTCAACAATTTTTTACTAAAACTTTCCATCAAAAGTCCAACCCAAAAAGTAGGGTCAGGAAAGCTCCCACATTTAAAATGATCTCACACAGCCATCAGAGAAAGAGAGGGACTCCCTTAAAGATGTGGAGAGAGAATGTCTAAATGTCTACTTGCATAAAATTGATAATACAAAACATATCTCCATTAGGTTCTTTCTTAATTGAAACGATGCTTTCTTTCATCCCTGCCAGGAAGAAGAAAAATCGTGTTTCCAGCTTGGGCTGCTGTTTCATCTGCTGGACTTGCTTGTGAGCTAAGCCAAGTTTCATTAAAAATTATTGGTCTCATAACTTTTTTTGTTTTTTGCTTTAAAGAGTCCCATATGGAACCAATATCATGATAGGATTGTAGCTGCACAAAGCCATTGGGCATTTTGACCCACTCTCTGCTTCTTGGTAGATTCTAAGTACAGATCTAATTGTTTTTTCCTTCAAGTATTAAGTGAATGTCTCTGCAAACAAAACCAAATTTAGAAAGTTAGATTGAAGAAATAGAGAAGCAAATCTAGTCAGCTCACAGAAATCTTTCTTCTCCTCTCTTGCTCTGTCTCCAAGGGAACCTCTACACCTTCTTTTAAGGTGCCAGCCATCTTGAGCTCTTGTCTGATTAAGAAATTCTCTGGTAGAACCAGAGCATCTGCAAAAGCGTTAAATATGATCACAACCATTGTACAAGTATTTTAACAACCAAACCTTATGATAGGTTATAGTTCATTGACTTGGAAGAAACATTGCATTATCTGGGAAAACAGCACAGATGTTGCCTAATAAACGTTTTGGTTTATGCAGTGTATTAACCTCATGAAACATTTATGCAAATCTCACATTAACAAAAGGTAAAAGAACCATTCTGTGTTATGAAGCATACAACAGGATGATCTTTGTCGTGTTTTTTTTGTTGTTGTTGCTGTTGTTTTTACCTTGGTATTTTATGGGTGTGTTTGTAACTCTTGGGGTTTCTATTTAGGAGGACACAAGGGCATTGCAGATTTTCATCTCTTCTGTTTTCAGTTCTGTTATCATCCCTTCCAGCTGACTTCACATTTTATGATGCTAATGGGGGGTGTGTGGTTTTGAGTTTCTCTCCTGTCAGCTGGTCAGTGGGTCTGAGGGATATATTTAATAGAATCTGACAGCTGATGGAGCTGGCCTCATTGAAAGAGGATTTGATATGTGGAGTGAATGTGGCGACCCTGAATTCGCCATAATAACGGCCATTATTATTCTGCCTCTCGCAGCCAATATAACTCTCCCTGTTGTACACACCAGTACATGTGTATAAAAGACATGACTTATGGATGGCTTCTTCCGTATACTGATCTGAGGGCCATTTAGATAGCATGTCAAAACAGATTAACTGTCTTATCCTGCCACAAAATTAAGGGGGGAAAAAAAAACTTTATACATCTCTGCCCAACAAATGCACTCTGTGCCCCTAAACAAAGCCAGCACAGAAGGGGCACAGATCATCTCTGGGTGGGGGTTAGGCACCCAGAAAAGCTGCAGGCTCACCCAGTTAAGGTGCCCCCTCCAGTGAGGACCCGAGGGCACTGCCTGAAATATTGTGAGGGCAGCTGGAGCCACAGGTAGGAACCTACCTCCTGAAAGGCTGGTGCCATGCTTTAGCTGTGTGCATGTGCCTGGGATGTTGGGGTGGGTGTTGACTCACCTCGGCCCCTGCTGAACTGGACTCACTGTTGAAATCAACATCTCAACCTGCATCCTGGCAACCTGAAACAGCCACATTCTCTGCCAAACCTGCCTGCCTACTGGTTACTAAAGTTCGCTAACATTTATCTTGTGCTTGTTCCGTGCTGAACTTTACCTGCAGTGACCCTTTTAATCTTCCCAAGAACTCTAATCTGTAGATATTATTATGATTAATTATGATTATCACTCCCATTTTACATATGAAGAAACTGAGAGAAAGGCAAGCTAAGTAACTGGTCTCAAGTCACAGCTGATGATCAAGGGAGCCAGGATGGAATCTCAGGCCATCAGAGCCCATTGCCACAACAGCGACAGTCCTCTTCTGCTTCTGTTTGTCCCCCAGCCAACAAGAAGTATGTGTGACTGTGTGTCTGCATACACATGCATATGCGCGTATAAAAATTCTTAGACCCAAATGTCCCCCTAGAAATCATCTTCACCCCCCTCTCCCCCATTAGCTGCAGCCAAATCCCCACTCAATCAAGAAAGTTACTGTGATTTTTTCCTCTGTAAACCGGGCACCTCCCATCCCATGGGCTGGCACAAAGACAAGGGGAGAACCTGTGTGCACCTAGCACAGCACCAGGCCTGGGAGGTTGGTCAGGAAGCACTCATCTCTCCTGTCCTTCATTTCCAACCTCAGAAACCCACCCCTGTTCCCCGCCTCCTGTCTACAAGCTGACCTCCCTGTCTTCAGCCATGCAACACTGCTGTCTGAGGTTACCATTTCAGGCAATGATATCAGAAGCAGTCGATCCCACATTTCTGAAAAGAATCCTTTTATTTATCTACCGTCATCTTCCAGTAAAAAAAAAAAAAAGAAAAGAAAAGTAAAAAGGCTGCAGAGAAGCCAGCAGATGTGTCCAGGGTACCTGAGGAAAGCAGGCCAGATGCTAGGAGAGATCCTCATGGCTGTCAGTGTTTAAATTACATAGAGCTGGTACTTTTTAGGTCAGAAGCATAAAACCTACTATTGATCTTGAGCAGTGCGTCCAATTTTGAATGTCTGTTAAAGCCCCAGGCACTTCAATGCCACATAATCAATATTTCTTTTCGTTCCTTCTTTCTTTTTTTGTTGTAGAAAATGTATGGGTTTGTTTACCCTTCCTGCAGGCATCCAACCTGGCCTTTTATTCCTGCTCAAGTAGGACACGCAGCCTGCTGGGGACCCGCGGCTCAAATCCTCAGTCTGCAGGACTGCCATCCCTGGGACTCAGGAATAATGGAAGTGCAGTACCCACTCCTTACAGCCCAGACGACTTTCCAGGAGCAGGCTGTACCCCTAAAGTAACCAAGGAACAAGGGGCAAGGAGACAGAGAGAGACGGGGAAATGTGAGACCATGTTTAGCTGAGTGTAGACCCTAAGATAAGAGAGTACTTGCAATCTTGAAATTTAGAGTAGAAAAGGGCCTTGGAGATTATCTGGGGGAAACATTCCCTTTCAATCTGCAGATGGAAAAACTGGCCAAGTCTCCTTATGCCTGAGTTGTTGAAATGGTCCAGGGAACATGAGCTGGGCCATATGGAATATGGATTAAGCTTTGAACTCTGTTAAGAAAAGGGTTTCAGGTCGACCAGATGACCACAGCAGTCTTCCTATTCTGACACTGAGGACAACCTAGTAAGCAGGCCAACCAGGTAGACTGGTGTGATTCGAAGCTACGTGGCCTTTGCGTCCCTGCCCAAAGGCCTGGTGGCTATGTCTGTGGTGGTGGTCTTGAAGAAGTGTCTTCTTCTACAGGCTGTTACATAGATTTGGCCTTGAAGGATGAAAAGCACAGAGAAGAGAAACTGGTGAGGGGTAAGGGGTGGGGACAGAGGTAAGAAGACAAAATGACAAGTGTTGCAAAGACAGAAGTGAGAAGGAACATGGTGCGTTGATGGACTTGCAAATGGTTCACATGAGCAGCACAGCACAGGGTGTGGAGGCAGCAAGAGAGATGGTATCACAGGAGCCTGGCCATGCCCTGCACTGAGGAGTTTCCAACTCTCGGCTTTGAAGCCTTTTGAATCAGGCAGTGATACAATCAGTGCTGCACTGGAGAAAGTTCATGTTGGCTGGACGGCAAAGAATGGATCGGAGGAAGCGAGACTGGGGTCAGGGAGCCAGAGAGCAGATTACTCCAGAGGCCAGGCAGACCCTGATGATGGCCAAATCAGGAACGGGGGATGGGTTTCTCATATTCACAAGGAGGCTCTGCAGGATCGGAGGAGGGTCTGGATAGATAAAGTGATGGGAAGATCACAGTTGTAGGCAGGGTCACTTAAAAATTCTAGCACTACATGTGAATTGTCAGGGTTTACTGTGTGACTTTTGACAAGTCACTTAACCTCTCTGAGCTTCAGTTTCCTTACCCATAATGTGAGAATAACATGGGGATTTCATGATTAAATGAGGTAATACATGAAAATGTTTTCCGCAGTGCCCACCATGTAGTAAACCTTCAGTAGGTGACAGCTGACTTCTATTATATTATTGACCATGTGGAGAGTGTCCAATGAGACATGATGTGTTTTGAAGTAGCATCATCTTTTTTTTTTTTTTTTTTGACAGAGACTCCCTCTGTCACCCAGGTGATTTTTCTGCCTCAGCCTCCCGAGTAGCTGGGACTACAAGAGCACACCACCATGCCTGGCTAATTTTTGTATTTTTAGTAGAAGTAGGATCATTTTTGACCCAGTCTTGAAATAGATAGCTTGAGTCATAAGCTGTTTCCAGGAAGCACGCTGGAGTTACTTATCTAGTGCAGGAAGACAACAACATAAACACATACCTATCTATCTCCCAGATTCCCCAGAAAATGACCAACTGTATATAAAAATAAAAATAAAAATAAGAAAAAACTTATCCATACTGGGTATTAGCGAAGGGTGGTATTTATAGGCCGGGAGGTCTGACGAACATCTGTTAGATACACGGCAGATGGGCCAGATTGAAGAATTCATGATTTCTAGAATGGGAAGGAGTGGTCTGTTTGATAGAAATTTCAAAACTGTCTTTGCAGATCCTCACCAACAGCCCTGCTGCAGTGAGAACTGGAGGAGAGAGTAGGCTAAAGCCTCTAGAACTGGTCAGTGCCACAGATAAGTGGCCATGGTGTCAGGGGCACAGTGAAGGGGATATCCAGACCAGCAATTCCTTGGAACTAAATCCTGAAGCCAACTTACAGCCAGGCCTGGATCAGGGCACAGCCCTAGCAGACTACTGGCAGCCGAGCTTTAGTAGACACGAATTCTCATCTTACCAGCATTCCAGCTCCTCTTACTCTAGTAATGACTCTGATTTTGAACTTAGAGTCAACCCTTCCCTTCATTCTGAGTCCACATGGTCTGGAAGGATCTCCAGGATGAGGTTCTTGACCCAGGTCTGGTCAATCCAGCACAAAATAGACCTTGACACAGTGATTGATTCAGGAATGGTCTCAACACTCAGGGTGGTCCAGTCTCAAAAGTTTAGTGGGAGTCCACAATAAGATATGACTTCACAACATAAGCATGGCTGTCACCAGATAGAGAGATCTGAACAAGACTGGCAAGG